ATCAGAAGTGTCTACCATCTCCAGTACTGCCATCTTTAATGGTTAACATTGACTGTGGACTCACCAGGACCTAGACTTAACCTAGGAAAGGAGCCTCTGGGTTTGCCCATGAGAGCTTCTTTAGGTTGATTTCTGGGGGTGGCTCCTTGAATATGGACAGCCTGATTTCATGGACAGGCTCATGTCCTGCATAGAAAGTTGAAGTGAGCTGAGCAGCAGTGTCCATCTCCCTCTGCTTCCTGATAGCAGATGTAGTATGAGCAACCACCTCCTGCTCCTGCCACCATGGCTTCCCGCCATGATGGACTGTGTCCTGGAACTGTGAGCCAAAATAAGCCTGCCCGCCCTCCCATCCATTGCTTTTGTCAGTGTTTTATCACAGTCCCGGGAAGCTCTTTAAGATACTCATCAAATTGTGAGTCCATTAGCTAGATGAACCTTTGATGAGGTCTGAGTCCTCATGAGCCACTGAATCTCAAAGTCCCACTTCTGAACAAGCTGTATGGAGATCATGTCTCTCACATGAGCCTTTTTTGTGGTGAGTGGTGTTATATTGTTATATTCAGACCATAGGAACCCCACTAGTCGGCTGTCTACCTGCTTAGCACAGCCCCTTTCTTCCTCGTGGTCCTCTTTATGATTTTCCCGGTACTTTCCAAGACCTGTGAGCAAATCTTTAAACTCATGTTCTTCTTGAATGTTATGTCTTTGGGCATATGGGGATCATCCCCTAGATCTCATAAAGGGATCTCATTCCCCTTTTTACTATACATTGGTCAGTACCCCAATTTTTCACATGACAAAATGGTTGAGACTGCTACTTGCTATTGATCATGGTTGTAATTTACCCTGTTTGATTAAATAATAGCCTTGTGTTTCCTTTCCTTCTAATAGAAGCTCTTTGGTTCTTAAGTCTTTTTAAAAATAACTTACTTGTTGGGTGTGGTGGCAGAGGTAGGAGGATCTCTAAGTTTAAGGCCAGCCTGGTGACACAGTGAGTTCAAGGCTAGCTGGGGTTACAGGGAGTCTCAAAAACACAAAACAAAACCCACAAAAAGCTTATTTATTTGGGAACAGAGAATTTTTTTAATGTGCTTTTATAGAAAATGAAAGGGTGACTAGAGAGGTAGCTCGTCAGTTAAGAGCACTTGCTACTTTTCTTGAAGACTCAAGTTCGGTTCCCAGCACTTTTTGTGGCTCACAATCACCTGAAATGCCAACACCAGCACTCAGATGTGCATACACACACGTGCACATAAAAGCTCGGGGTGGCAGCGTGTGCCTGTAACCACAGCACTGGAGGGCTACAGGCACAGGCAGATCCCTGAAGTTTGTCAACTTGCCAGTCTAGCTAAAATGGCAAATCCCAGGTTCACTGAGAGAATGTGCCTCAAAAAATATGGTAGAGCTGGTCATGGTGACCCCCCCCCCCCCGCCTTTAATTTCAGCCCTTGGGAGGTAGAGGTAGACAATTTTTGTGAGTTCTAGGTTAGCTGGGGCTATAGAGAGAGCCTGTCTCAAAAAAAGAAAAAGGAAAAAGCAGTAGAGGAAGACACCCACCCCAGCAGCCTCTGGCTTCCAAACGTGCCAGCACAGACGGACAACTGCACACGCATAGACAAGTATATAAAATGAATTAATTTTAAACTTAAGACTTAATTTATTGACAGGGAGGATATGTGTGTGTGTGTGTGTGTGTCTGTGTGTGTCTGTGTGTGTCTGTGTGTGTAAGAGGACAACTTGGCTAAAGTTGGCTCTTCTACCATGTGGGATGCCTTCACCACTGAGCTTTCTCACCAACCCTTGTATATGTGTGTGTGTGTGTGTGTGTGTGTGTGTGTGTATATATATATGGCGGGTACTGGGGTTTAAACGTAGGGTCCTATGAAACAAAGTCTGAATAAGTTTCCCAGACTGGCATTGAACTGATTCTGTAGCCCAGGCTGGCCTTGAATTTTTATTTAATTTTTTTTTTTAGTTTTTGAGACAGGGTTTCCCTTTAGCCCCAGCTGGCCTGGAACTTGTTATGTAGACCAGGCTAGTCTGAATCTCCCAGCAATCCACCTACCTCTGCCTCCCAAGTGCTGAGATTATAGACCTGGCCTTCTCTCTTTTTTAAGTATTTTATTTATTTTTAGTTTTTATGTGTATGGATATATTGCTTGCATGTAGGTAGATGCCCCTGTGTCATGCAGTGTCCATGGAGATCAGAAGAGGGCATTGGATCCTCTGGAACTGGAGTTATGGATGGTTGTTAGCCAAGGTGTGGGTGCTGGGAATTGAACCTGGGTCCTCTGCAAGAGTAGCCAGTGCTTTTAACTGCTGAGTCATCTCTTCAGCCCTGTGGCCTTTCTTTTAAAGGCCTGTATTGATGTGTAGTCCAGGCTGGCCTTTAAGTCAGCCTTTCTGCTTCTGCCATGACAATGCTGGGCCAGGCCTGCCCCACCATACCTGGCTCTGTGATTTTTTTCATTTTTTAAAGAGCCAATCATTAAAATATATAAGGTAACAATAAAGGGAATATGATTAAAAACAATAAAACAAAACTTGATAGAAAAAAGCCACTCCCTCTGGCTTAGGATGAGCTCAATAGCAGATACTGGCCTAGGATGCTTAAGGTCCTGATTTCCACTCCTGCATCATGATTATGGAAAAGTCACAGCATCTCTATACATTTGGTAGCACACTCAAGATTTGGGGAAAACTGGTCTCCTGTTTGAAAAAAAGAAAAGGAAAATAGACCAATCTTTCCTTACCTGAAAAATACTCTTTTGTTGGTGGTGGTCTTCTTGAGACAGAGTCACCTTGTAGTCCCAGCTGGCCTGGAACTTACTATATAGACCAGGCTGGCCTTGATCTCAAACAGATCCGCCTGCCTCTGCCTCCCAAGTGCTTGGATTGAAGGTATGTGCCACCATGCCTGGGCCTCTGATAAATACTCTTTAAAAAGGTAATTCCTGGCTGGAGAGATGACTCAGTGGTTAAGAGACAGCATAATGCTCTCGTAGAGGGCCTGAGTTTGATTCTCAGTGCCCACATCAGGCAACTCACAATTTCCTCCAACTCTAGCTCCAGGGAATTTGACACCTCTGGCCAACACTGGCATCTGCACTCTCACACACACACACACACACACACAAATACATAATTAAAAATAAATCTTAAGGGGGCTGGGGAGACGGCTCAACGGTTAAGAACACTGGTTGTTCTTGCAGAAGACCCGGGTTTGAATCCTAGCACCCACATGGTAGCTAACAACTGTCTGTAACTCCAGTCCTAGGGGATCTGATAACCTCTTCTGACCTCTGCGGGCATTGCACAACAAGGGTGCACTTACCTACATGCAAGCAATACATGCATACACATAAAATAAAAATAATAAATAAAAAAAAATCTTAAAAAGGTGTGATTCTTGAATATATTCAATACGTAAGGGATGGACAAATTCTCCCTTGGCCTTGACCTTATGCCAGTGTGAAGGGGAGAGGGTATATTTGTTTGATTCCAGTGTTTCCACCTAAGACCCTAGTACTTGAAACATGCTCGATAATTGTGTGTGTGTATGTGTGTGTAGGTGCGTGTAGGCCAGAGGTCAATGTTGGGTACCTTTTTCAAACACTTTCCACTTTATTTTATTTATTTATTTTTGTTCTTTTTGAGACATGGTCTCCCTTGTAGCCCCAGCTGGCCTGGAACTTGCTATGTAGGCCAGGCTGGCCTCGCTCTCAGAAGAAATCCACCTGTCTCTGCCTCCTGAGTGGTGGGATAAAGGCATGTGACAGCATGGGAACCCATCATCACTTTATTTTTTTTTAAAGATTTGTTTGTGTGTATGTGTGTGTCATGTGTGTACAGGTACTCTTGGAGGCCAGAAGAGGGCATTGGATGGATTCCTGGAACTGGAGTTACAGGCAGTTGTTAGTTGCCATGTGGGTACTGGGAAACAAACTCAGATTCTCTGCAAGAACAGCCTGTGCTTGCAACTGCCGAGCCGCAGTCTCTCCAGCCCTCCACCTTGATTTTTAAGATGACTAACATGCCCCGAAGACCCTGTCTCTATCTTCCTAGCACTGGGAATGCTTACCTTTTATTTTATGTACGTGCAGGGGATGGATTTCAGGTCCTCATGCGTGCAGGGCAAGAACTTTCACTGATTGAACCATGTCTTTGGTCCTGTTTCTTTCTTTTTTAAAAAAAAATTTTATTATCTATATTTTATGTGTACGAGTGTATTGTCTGCATGTATGTGAGTGCACCTGTGTTGTGCAATGCCGCGGAGGTCAGAAGAGGGCTTCGGATTCCCTTGGAACTGGAGTTAAGGATGGTTTGTAGCTGCCATGTGGGTGCTGGGAATCGAACCCGGGTCCTCTGCAAAAGCAGTCAGTGCTCTTAACTGCTGAGCCATCTCTCCAGCCCCTGTTTCTTTTCTTTTCTTTTCTTTTTTTTAATCTTTTTGAGACACGGTCTCCCTTGTAGCCCCAGCTGGCCTGTGTTGGGCCAGGCTGGCCTAGAACTCAAAAGAGATCTGCCTACCTCTGCACCTACCTCTGCCTCCCAAGTGCTGGGATTAAAGGCGTGTGCCACCATGCCTGGCTGTTTGTTTCTTTTTGTCTTTTTGAGACAGGGTCTCCCTGTAGCCCCAGCTGTCCTGGAACTCACTATGTAGACCAGGCTGGCCTCGAACTCACAGAGATCCACTTGCCTCTGCCTCCCAAGTGCTGGGATTAAAGGTGTGTGCCACCACGCCTGGCTCCTGTTTGGTTCTTTTTTAAAAAAATTAAAATCTTGTAAATTCTTTTTCTGATCTCTTTGGGTCAAAGCTGATAACACCCAGCACTGATTTCCCTTTTGTGTCATCGTCTTGCCCCAAACCAGTTCCCAGCATTTGTCCCTCTTGTGTGCACGTGCACGACGTTCTTTGCTCACCTGCTTGATTTTTTTTCACATAGCATTTACAAAGTAATATATCAGTTATTTTTTATGATTATATTTCCCCATAGGACTTCTAGACCTTTACAGAACAGGATATTTTCTGTGTCCTTCCCTGCTCTGCCTATGCCTACCACAGGAATAGGACTTCCTAATTATTTGCTGAAAGAATTAAAGAATAAGCCAGACCTGAAATAAACTTCCAGTACCTACAGTAAATGAAATAGGAGGTAAGATTATTTGTAATTAATATATTTTATTTTAACCCATATATTGAAAGTACCGTTTTAGTACATAATAAAGAAATGAGATATTTACACTTTTTTTTCTCAAATGTATCTGATTTGCGTGTATAACTCGTAAGATTAGCAGTTCAAAAAGATTTCAGAGCCTAGGAGTGTAGCATAGTGTAGAGTGTGTTTTGCTTGCATGGAGCCCTGGGTACACGTCTCAGTTCATATACACAGAAATCTAGATTTGGCGTTGGGGATGTGGCTCAGCAGGCAGAGTGCATGTCTAGCACCCACAAAGCTCTGGGCTCCATCCCTAGCACTCATAAACCAGAAATGGTGATGAACACTTGCAATCCTAATAGTTGTGAGGTGGAGATAGAGGATTGGATGTTCAAGGTCATCCTTAGCTACTCATGAAGAATTCAAGGCCAGCCTGGGCTACATGAGACCCTGTCTTTAAAAAATGAAATAGTCAGCCGGGCGTGGTGGCGCACGCCTTTAATCCCAGCACTCAGGAGGCAGAGACAGGCAGATTTCTGTGAGTTCGAGGCCAGCCTGGTCTACATAGTGAGTTCCAGGACAGCTGGGGCTACAGGGAGACCCTGTCTCAAAAAGACAAAAAGAAAAAAAAAAAATAGTCAAAAGTAAAGTAAATTGAAATATGTAAGCTCTGTTTTTGTTTCTTGAGAGAGGAGCTCTGTATTTGAGGCTAACTTCTAACTTAAATCCTCCTGCCTCAGCCTCCAGTGTGTTAGTAGTATAGGTGTTTGCCATTATATCCTGCGCCTAATATAATGTGAGTTGTCAGATAACTGAATTATGTTGATTTTTTTTCTTTCTATTTCAGTTTTAATT